TCTCTCTCTCTCTCTCTCTCTCTCTTTCCTTCTCGTCGCCGCGTCTCCGCGTCAAGTCACATCTCGCCTCGTGTGCAGCATCCGCGTCCGTTTCCTTAAGTCGGCACGCACCACGTCGGTGCACCTGCGCGATCGATCTCGAGGGAAAAGAGAGAAAATCCCGCGCACTTCGAGAAAAAGTGAGTACGGAGCCTCGCAGCCGCGTAATATCGCCGATACCTTTTCCTCCGCGGATCGGTGACATTTAGCATCCGCTGACGGTTGCTTGCGTTATCAGCGGGTCCAAGTGCTCGATGATATGATACTAATGTTTTCTTTCAATTGAAACGATCACTTGACGGTGAACGCTAAAAATTGTCGATGACAAAGGTAACAGAATGCAAATGGTGACGATAAACAAGGTGGCACGATGATGATGTAACCGATCATTCATAGAACATTTTACAGTGCTGTAATAGTCCGTGATGGTCGCGCCATTGTGCTCTTGCAGATTTCGATTTTTACTAGAAAATTGTACGGTACTATCTTCAAATCACTTAAAAATATTAGTTAATGACATTACAATTAAGATACTATCATGTATCCTAATTAATAAAAATAACTAAGAATGTTTTGTGTTTACGTAGACTTTGATTCTTGCTATTATTATACAATTTCTACCTTGAAAGTATTTAAAATTATTGATTTAATAAAATTATAGTTGATGAGATAATTTATCATACTGTTATATATTTTAATTAATAAATACAATATATTTACGAAAATTTTGATTTCTGCTATAATTATAAGATTTCTATTTCTATTTCTAGATCGTTTAAAATATTATTATTAATTTAACAGAATTACTCTTAAAATAATTTATTAGATTGTTATATATCTCTAAATATTGCGTTTATGTAGATTTAGATTTTTCGTATAATACCATTGTTATCTCCAAATTATCTAAATTATTAATTAATTTAATTTATTAATTTTATCTCTGTAATTTTAAAATTACTGAAATAATATATATATATATATATATATAGTTATATCTTCTAATAAAAATAGCTATAAATATCATGCGAAGAAAAAGCATGGTTTAGATGTTTCAAAATGCCGAATCGAGTTCCGAAGATATTCTTTCGTAAAAATATTCTTTCGTAAAACACAGGAAATCATATTTTAGCGCGAGAGGTAAAAGAAGACCGTAAGTTCGTCGTGTCTGAGGCATAAAAATAAGACATTCGTGCGATTTCGCATAGCAAGACATTTACATAAATGCGCTTCGCAAATACACGTGACATGTCACGACGATGTATTTTTCATACGTGGATGCTTCACGAGAAATCACTCGATGTTGTCGTTTTCCTCGCGTCTGTAAACACCGACGACACGAGATGACTTTTATGAATATTTTGCAGAATCACGATGGCTTATTGACATCATCAGCGAGATCTTTCGAGACTCGCGATAAATCCGATCGAGCTTATAAAATCATCGATTTTGCTGTTATTTTCAATAATATCCTCAGCCGTCTGCATAGAAAACCAAATCGATTTATTTCTCCCTTTATTTTTCTTGGATGTGCGTGCTGTCGATCGATATAAAAGAACTTCCAAGATGACCTTACCTTTGTTCGTCATACAATATCGACCTCCTTCGTTCTTTGCTTCTCTTGGAAGACCGCACCCCTTTTCTTATATTAATTGGTTATCGAATGGAGCGCACGCGAAATATCTCGATGGGACGCCCTTCCCTCTCGTTTCTCATTAATTGCCATATCTTGGTCAAGAAAATCGATATCGGCCCATTTAACAGACTGATCGAATGGTACATTGTATATTTTTAACGTGCGTTTTTTTTGTGCGTGTCTTACTCACCGCCTAAATTTAACATCAATTCCGCGTGTAACTAATCGTACTCGCATCGATCGCGATGCTGGTTTCCGCAAGAATTTTTCGTTGTCTTCGCCATCATGTAATATTTGTAAATGCATATTCTGAGCATGACAAATATTTGACGTCATCGTGTACATTTGAAAATGCAAAGTGTCATTAGATATCACTTCGCTTATTAGTGTATCTATTAATGTACAAGTAAACATAAATATAAATTATACTAATATATATATATACGCATTAGTTTCTACAAAATATGTAAAATATATAATAATTTTGAAATGTGAATATTAAAATTAGAATTAGATTAATCAATTTAACCTTCTAGAATATGCATACTAATTATTGTTAATTAGTAATTTACATGTTAATTTGTACGAATTAAAATGAAATATTAAGGTAAAATGTATAAATATGTAAAATAATATTTTAAAATGCACATAATTAAAGCTGAAGTTAGTCAATTCATTCATCTGAAGGAACGTACGTGTTCTATTATTGTTAATTAATAATTTACGCGAGCCTACGCAAATTCATAAATTAGTCTATTAATGTAAACACGTATGTATATTTTCTACTTTCGTAATTGATACTTGTATCATTAATAATCAATGCCTTCGAAACGATTGCGTAAATGCTCGTTTATCGCGAGAGCTTGAAGTACACTGTATAATACCGACATTTAGAGCGCTTGCTCTCTTTAGAAAAGAGATCCCCGCGCTTCACAGTGATCTCTTGTGCGGTGACGCAATCTCTTTTTGCGTAAGTCGGATAGAATCGCGCGTTTCAGCGGCGCATGATGCGTTCTTCCGGGATGCATTTACCAGCAGCAGTTTTATCTATTAACAAGAGCACCCAACTATGCGCTACATTATTTAACGAAATTTAATTTTAATTTAGTTTAATTCAATTCAATTTTAATCATATTTAATTTTAATTTATTACTCGCACATTATAACAGGTAATCAGAAGCTTTTACATGAAAAATGTTGTTACACGAAAAATTCGGATTCGTTATTTTCGTGATTATTTCTCTGACAGATCGTCGCTTCGATTTCTTCTCAAGATCGTATTTCGTCGCAGCGAAATGTCAAAAATCGTTTAATAATAATACTGACGTTGGTCATCGCTAATTATAAGCGATAGAGAAGTGAGAAAATACATGCAAAACGTTTACAACACGAAACTGACTGTTCGTCAACAAAACCCGAAACCGGTTTAGCTGGGCTTAGAAAATTCTTCGTTCTGATCCGACATCGCCTGAAGCGATTCTCAGCGCCGTCACTAACCGTATCATTTAATTGTTCCATATTTTTTTATTTAATGTCCGAAACCGATGCGATACTTCACGCCATTTAATACATTTGCTTTGGGCTTTCGAGGCTCATCTTACAAAAGACTCAAAGAAACGTTCTCCAATTTTTCTCCCTTCTCTCGTTATGAATCAAGATCGACCAAGGTAGAACATTGAAGCCTCTTAATGCCTGATGCTTTTTTTCCGAGCTACGCTCTCGAGTGTCGGTCAAGTACAGCCGTCAATTTACCGTGAACTACCAAGGTAATCTTAATCGACCGGTTATCATTCGATGGTGATGCGGTGGCTTTTTACGTCGAGTAAACGGCGTAGGATCATGAGGCGCGTTTCCTTTTGAGGATCGAAAGACCTCGAGCGAATCTGATGGCCGCGTGATCTTGCTTCTCGAATCGACCTCAGACCGAAAACAAACGTAAAGAAATATCGGACTTTTCAAGCCAAACACGCCTACTTTCGTTTGTAGCGCTTCGTTTGGACAAAACGGAAAAGAAAATTACGCGGCGATTTATGTCTACTTCAATGTAGCTTAACTTTAATCATCTTGATTTAATTTTAATTCTAAGCTTAATTCTAATTTTAATTGCAAGAACTAGAAAAAGATGAAGAGTAAATTAAATCGAGATTAACGTTGATAAAAATGGATATTAATGAATACAAAGATTTAAAAAATAATTACTTAAAAAAGTGATGGTATTTACAATTTTAAATGATAGGTAGAATAATTATTTATAACTGTATATTATAATTAGGGACTTACAGGTTTATTCCACGCGAGGATGTATCCGTCGCCGGATATTGGATCTCCGCATGTTGGAGAAATAATAATAAACTCCGGAAGGAAGGTCAGCGACGGCGAGCGCGCGACTCGCTTAAGTGTCTAAAATAGACGCGAGCGCGCGCGGCACATGCCAATGACCCAAATTTCCCTTATTCTCGGCATAACACGACTTAATATCGCGTGCGATGTTGCGATACGAAACGACGAGAGCGGATCGTTCTGTCGCATCATCGCCCAATATTCTGTAACCCACCACGTCATCGATGGGCGAGGTGCGGGTGTGCCGGCGGAATTATGTAAAGCGTATTCGGATCTACTTCAATCCTCTTCGAGATAGCCGTAAAAAGAAGCAATACCGTTATTTTAAAAGCGAAGTTTTTCAATTTTCCCTTCGCTTGTTGATGTTTCAAAAAGTCAAAACGGTGATCTTCACGGCGTTCTCGTTTTATTTTAGTTATTTTTTAACGAATATCGATTCTAGTAATTTTTCATCTATATATCTTAATATCTTAATGTCTAATAAAAGGAAAAAAAAGGAAAGAAATATATACAATTTTATTTAATGTTTGATGTCAAAATCATTGTAAGATTACAGAATCTAATATAAAATTTATGAAGAGTTACATATACTGCAGAATCTCATTTTATATATGGATACAAATAATATATATTTGTTTACTTAGATGATTTATTAATTTAATGGACTGATAAAATTAGCTTTCTCTCCGTTTTAGAATGCAGCTAACAACCTGTTGCAGATGTTGTTCCCTGAAAACGGGAACAATCTTCAGCGGAGTATGTGGTATCGTAAGTACAACACTCATTTCTAATGCATTTTTATATTTTGATTCAATTTTACTATGCAAATCTATTTCGTGTAGGTCCTCGCCGTGATTTCCTTGATCCTGATCTTTACGGCGAACGTAGAATGGAAAACGATAATCATCGACATTTTAGACAAGACGGCTGTAAAGATCATCTTCGCAATCAACCTCTGCATGACCATCCTGATCTCTACGCTGCTTATAATTGGCGCTATAAGAGCAAGTATTTTAAGTATTTTTATATATAACTAGCAATAAAATATCATACATGAATATTTAAATCGCAGAAGAGACTTAAGGATATTACTTAAGGACTTAAAAATATCAATGTCTAAAAGTCGTAAATTAAAAAAATTTCTATATCCGAAAAATTGTTGTATAGAATTTTTAAAAAAATCTAAATTAATAGTAAAAAATCCCGTCTTATACAATATAATTTGGATTTACAGAAAAATACATTTATGATGCTTCCATGGGTAGTTCTGGGCCTTATGTTGGCTGTCGCCCTTCTTGTGAGCGTCCTTTATACATCGATTATGTTCTTCATAAACAGTGAAGTTCTTAACGGTGTTCTTTGGCTGGTCTTCGGGCTAATTGCTGTTGGTAAGCATTTAAATATTATTACAAATTTTCAATATAATTTTTATTATTTAGAAGATATATCTTAAAAATGATTTTTTTTTAATTTGTCATTATAACCGAGAACTAGAAATAATTAAAATCATATGAAGATTCGTTAATATTAATTGGTTTTTAATATAGTTAATAATTCCATTTTTTATCAAAGAGATTGATAGAAATTTTAAAATTCTAGAGAAAAATCACTAATACTGATACATAGATATCTTCTAGAAAGTAGAAGTCTTTCTAAATCTAAAGATCTCTTTATTTCTTGAAATTATACATTGAATTATACTTTATCAATTCTGATAAAAGTTGATGTTCTACTTAGATAATGAAAGAAATGAAAGAAAACTCATTTATGAATTGCTTTTATATAAAATTAGCTAAAAACAAATTCTTTAAATATGAAAATAATATTTTTATCATTTTTTTATAAATTACATAAACAATATTAATTATAAGTATTAACAAAGATGATTCTGGGTTCAAAGGTGTTAAAATAATGAAAAAAAGGGTAAATAAGAATCGGCGTTGTTAAGAGTGCGCAACACTTTTAACATTTTTTTATTAAAAGACTTCAATTTTTATTATAAACTATATGAGTACTTTTATTTATATTTAATCTTAACATTTTACTTTATAAAATGTGTTATTTAATATGTAAAAATATATATTTTATTTCACAGTTTATTAATTTATTTCATATTTAATCAATTCACATAATTTAATATTTTTTTTTAACGTCATGTTTTCATATTTAATATATATCTACGATCAATAATGTTACAAAAGTAACTCATGCTTCTGAACTCTGACATTATTATCTATCATGTCACTTTTGAAGCTCAATTTTTTAAACACTGATTTTCGCTTGTCTTATAATAAAGTTAATTATTTCAAAGTTCGAAACAATATTGTAAACATTATTGTACCATTTGAAAGAAGAGACTTTGCATTTATATTTTCAAAATTTTATTTTTGATTTCTGTTTAACAGATACAGTCGAAAACAAAATAGTATTTCGATATCGATGACTCTTTTCTACTCGTGAGATCAATACTTAGTAAAAACTTGTAATGCCATTTCAACTCTTTGCAGTTGTGTACACGTACATGTGGCTGGTGGTGTATAGTTATTATCAACAACTGAGGATTGAGAAGATGAGTAAAAGAATGGGTCCTTATGGAAAACCGTACAATTACCGGCGAGCGTGAGGGTAAGATTGAATGCGTAGATACGATTGCAGGAACTTGTCTGCGAAGCAATCGTGGGCTGGAGAACGGCGTGACGACCGCAACAATCGCTACCACTCGTATAAAACACCCATAAACTCGTGTCAACCACGACATTTTCTTACAATCGGTTGCAAGTTGCAATAGTTCATGCTGTTTTCGCCAATAATCGTATCTCCAAATGATGTCGGACTAAAACTTATCTTTTTCACCCTTCATTATTTACCCGAGTAACGACGCGGAAGTATCTTTTTGTACATTGTAAATCTATTAACATCATAATAACATCATAAAGGTATTCCTGTCGTAGTTTATATTCTCACCAAAGCACGATATATTTCGATTTACATGACCGGATGTTTCGATAGAACATCCCACATAATTTGTGTAAAATAAAAGATAAGTTAGAACATTTACATTAGATTATATTTATTATAACTATTGTTTATAACTATTTTATCTGATGAATAGATTCTCCCGTAATTTTGAAGAATTCTGCTTTCGAGCAACTGAAATGACAAATATTCCAAGTGCAATTATTAATCAATGATTAACAAAAAGTTGTAATCAAAAAAACACGCTTTTTGTATGCTATTAATTAAATAACAAATGGCATTATTATAAGTTATCACTTTTATTTTAGACATTATAATTAAAATTTTAGACAACATAAAGTTCAAAATCAGGACACAAAACGTCAGACATTTCTTGTAAAGATGTTTAAAACGTCTTATGTCCTAATTTTGGACGTTGTGTTATTTGATAAACTTGAGATAGATGATTAGTGAATCAAGAAGCTATCGATAAATTGATTTATTATTTGTTATAGGATAGTTTATAAAGTTGTTTTTTTAGTTTGTATAAAATTTATGTTTGTTAAAGAAAAATGCCATTTTTAAAAAAATTTTATAAGATGATCTTTGTTAAAAAAAATATTGTATTTTTTAAATCATCGAAAAGATAACAGCATAAGAAGTTAATTCATAACTAATTTGTATTCTTATTTAATTTTTTTTTATTTATGGAGAGAAAAGAACAGAAGTATATGTGCGCTGCAAAATATATTACTATAAATTATATTACTATAATATTACTATAAATATATTACTATAATATTACTATAAATTACTATATATTACTATAAATATATTACTATAATATTACTATAAAAACATGAATCTCTATCTAATTATTTATTCTTATTTTTTTCCTTTGGTGTGCTGTATATGATTATATCTTTTTTATCTTAATCAATATTATTTATTAATAAATTATTTTTTTTAATTATTATTAATATCGTTATTATTTGCAATTCTGAAAACAATGATATTGTTGTGAATAAATTTTTTTATGAAATATATGTATTACATATTTATATTGCAGCTCCAAAAAAATAGAGCAATAAAGTAACAAAATACTTTTTAATAATAACATTTATAAAATATTACATTTATTACATTTTATCCTTTCAATCGCCTTTCATATTTCCCATTAGTAATATAAATGAGTCATATATTCATTTAAATCAAGAGATGTTCTTATTGAAGAAACTTGTGATGTCATATTAAGAAAAATTTTAATACAAAAAATTACATTTGCAATAACAAAAAAATAAATTAAGAAAAACGTCACTAAAATAAGAAAAATTTAAGGCTGACTAAGACCACTTTCTATATTTTCCCGAATAAACACGGCAAGGCTTGCGGCAGCGAAACCTGTTGTATGACTTTCGCATCCAAAATCAGTTATTGTAGATGATCGGCGAATAATCTTGTGTTTGTTAAAAAATCTGAAATATTTAACACATAATATTCATACTTTATGATGGATTTTTGTTGTTAACATTATTTTTCAGTGTGTACATAC